TTTCCCTCCTGCCCAGGGGCACTACGCCGTGATGAACAATCCCACCCGGCAGCGCAGCCGGTGCAACATCGCCTACAGGTTTGTCGCTTCCCCCGGAGAAATCCCAACTCCAGCTCTGTTTTTATTCCCTTGGAATCTCGAGGCCTGACTAGGAGAGGAAGCCAAGCCTTCCCTCTGGGCTGTGCTGCTGCTGGACTGGCCCAGTTTGAGCCCAGACTGGTGTGTGCAGGCGCTGCCTCCAGATAGGTTTGTCGCTTCCCCCGGAGAAATCCCAACTCCAGCTCTGTTTTTATTCCCTTGGAATCTCGAGGCCTGACTAGGAGAGGAAGCCAAGCCTTCCCTCTGGGCTGTGCTGCTGCTGGACTGGCCCAGTTTGAGCCCAGACTGGTGTGTGCAGGCGCTGCCTCCAGATCTTGGCCGCGGGGCTGTTCCTGCCCGGATCCGTCGGCATCACCGATCCCTGCGAGAGCGGCAACTTCCGCGTGCACACCGTGATGACCCTGGAGCAGCAGGTCAGGGAGGGTCACCCCCACACTCAGGGGGCACTCAGGGGGTCCCTGTGCCCCCCCTGACCCCTGCCCACCCCCAGGACATGGTGTGCTACACGGCGCAGACTCTCGTCCGCATCCTCTCGCACGGAGGCTACAGGAAGATCCTGGGCCAGGAGGGAGATGCCAGCTGTGAGTGGGGCTTGGAGGGGCATCCCAAGGGGAATGGGGATGGAATTGTGGGCAGGGGGTGTGGTGCAGCCCCCCAGGTTGGTTGTGTCTGGGCAGACCTGGCGTCGGAGATGTCCACGTGGGACGGGGTGATCGTGACGCCGTCGGAAAAGGCTTACGAGAAACCTCCGGAGAAGAAGGAAGGGGAAGAGGAGGAGGAGAACCAGGAGGAGCCTGCGGCAGGGGAGGAGGAGGAGAGCATGGAGACACAGGAATGAAGGCCCAGGTGACACCCAGGGAGGGCACAGGGGGCAGCAGCTCCTCGTGGTGTCCCCACACCCCTGGGCCCAGCGTGTCCCCGTTCCCTGTTTGTGTCCCTGTTCTTGTTCCGTGTCCCCGTTCCCCTTTCCCTGTCCCTGTTTTATAAGCTGCACATTAAAGTGTTGCCCCTTTCCAACGTGTCCTGCTTGGTTAGTTCAACACAGGATTGATGGCAATGAGGCAGGTGGAGCAGCAGGAGAAGGTTCCAGAACTTGAAAAGGAACACACTTGGGGCTGCCTGAACCCCAAACTTACCTGGAGGTGTCCAAACCTCACCTGGGGGTATCCAAACCCCACCTAGGCATGTCCAGACCTCTTCTGGGGCTGCCTGAACCCCAAACCTCAGCTGGAGGTGTCCAGACCCCACTTGGAGGTGCCTGAACCTCCCCTGGAGGTATCCAGACCCCACCAAGACCCACCAAGGACACGGGAACGTCACGGACTCTCCTGTCACTTTTATTGCAGCTGCAGGAACAGCCCTGGGGGTGTCCCATGCCCAGCAGGGACACCCTGCTGGGGGTCCCAGCTGCCCAGCAGGGACCCCCTGCTGGGGGTCCCAGCTGTCCCCTGGGGGTGTCACTTGCCCGGCAGTCCCTGGGGGTAGCCCCCAGCCTCCAGCAGAGCTCTCCTGCGCACTGTCTCCTTGGCCACGCTGTGGTTCAGCCTCCGCAGCCTCTCCTGGGGGAGAACAGCCTTGTCAGGGCTCTGGGACCCCCAAACCCCTCACACACAGCCCTTGTCAGCCCTGGGGGGCTCTGGG